CGCTGCCATCAATTAATTCTCCTAATCAGTGTGATGATTAGTGTGTGCAATACAAAAAGCCATTTGTTTTCCCCTAACTAGGTCACAAATGTAGCTAACAATGCTGTATCCATCAGTGTGAATAACTCATTAGGATCAGGAGGAGTCCTCCAGGATAATCTTGAATTATGCGTCCCTTCATATCTTAAAACTGTGTTCGTCCTCCTTTGTTGATTTAAGATAGATCTAATGTTTTGTGACTGATTGATGTGACATCTCCTCTTTGTTTTGGTGTAGATCCTCCTGTGCTGCGGGGGAAGCTGCAGCCCGAGCGACGCCTTATCCAGTCACTGCTACCACCTGCTCTTCGCCTTCCTCACCTGTTTCCTGTTTACAGCCCACCTCCCGGAGAGGTTGGCCCCGGGGCGCTTTGACTACTTTGGTATGTCCTTCATGATTGTTGATAAAAGTAACTAACGGTTCAAGCTTTGAATAATACTTCAAATGAAGGCACACTGACAGTGAATGCATCGCACTCGGGCTGTGTCCTAAACCGCATACTTTCATATCACACATACTCCCATGTGGCATCACATGGAGTATGTAGTTTGATCCGAAATCATAGTATTTGATTTTTGAGTGTGAGAAATATGAGAATGTTTACTGGATTGGCCAGAAAGTATGAAACCGGAACACACTGGCCCCACAATGCACTGCGGCTCTCAGACTGTCCAATCCCAGAGCTCGCCATCAAGCAAGCTAGCAAATAAAAAAAATAATTTTACATGTTGAAAAATTACATTGCTGGACCCGTGTTTTAGTATGTTTGTAACGGCATAATGACGGTCGGGTTAGTATTCACAAACTCGATATTTTGAGTATTTATAAGGCAGTATGTAGTAGGTTTTTCACTTCTCAGCTTCTCTCTTACAGAAATATAATTCTGGTGGCTGACAGTGTTTGATCATTCCTGTTGTAAGGAACAAATGTCTCTGTCCTGCCATTCCCAACGTGTACATGTATTTAAGTGATTAAAACATTTGAGTTTTCTCTGCTAGCTTGTGCACCTTCTGATGACCACAGATACATTTTAAAACCAAGTGTTTTGTCCCCCACTAGGCCACAGCCATCAGCTCTTCCATGTCAGCGCCGTGGTGGGCACCCACTTCCAGATGGAGGGCGTGATAGCAGACATGATGTCGCGGAGGGCGTTGCTTGTAGCGCATGGAGCCACGCCCTCCTTCCTGGGCACCATCGGAGCGCTGGTAGTCAGCCTCGTGTTGAACCTGGGCATCATCGGCATTTTCAGCGCCCCGCTGCTCTGGAAACCCTGCCACTCTAACTCCAACCAGCCGCACACATCGACGATGACGACGTGTGACCGCAAGGAGCAGTGACAGCGCGTTTTTTTTTTTGTCCTCCAATATGGCTGCTTCACTTTCCAAAGGAAAAGGTTGGGTCTGCTCATTTGGGACGACTTCACAGCTCAGAGAAGTTCTTCTTTAACTCCTACAGTTTTATAATCCAGAGATAAAGATTTTTTAAACCGTGCTAAAATTTGTTTCTAACGGCATTACACGCCTGAAGTATTCCTTCATGTGTCTGCACAGAGGCTGAGGACCCAGATGTTACATGCAGTCGATTTCATTTGTGGGATTCTGAAAACATGTATCTTGTAAAAAATGTATTGTAATTTATTTGAAAGTTTCCTCATTTGTGCATTTAAAGAAGCTCTGGGTTGAAGGAAGCCTGCTGTCGCGACACAACTCTTCCAGAAAGTGCCTTTTTTTTTTTTAAAGGTTCACTTTCTTTACAATGTTTACAGAGGATCACTACAAGGACTCGTTTAAATCTCAAACTGGAAATGCCTGTTATCACAGTTTGCAGGGATTCTATTTTGAATGAATGATTCTTCTTTATGGAAACACTAGACCAGGATCTCCTTCACTGTGTTAAGAAGGCCTTGAGTATAATCTTTCTAACTGGACTGCCTTGTTACTGCGGTGGTGCGTGTGTTTGTACAGCTACACTCATTCAACCCTACGTAATATCATGCAAATTGTGTTGCGGGCTCTTAAATATCCAACCTATTGATTCCACTCTGCACACACTGCGATTGATTTGCAGGCCAGTGGGCTTCTTTTTCCTTTTTTTTTTTTCTTTCTGGTTCCCTGCCTTATTATGAACATAACAATCTGCCCTGAACAGGAGGAAGAGAAAAAAAGAAAAGAAACGTTAGAGCGCTGCGGTGGTGATTAGAAGACAGGTACCATTTTTATAACAGAGCGTTTCCACGGCAACGCTATAGTGGCCTCATGCCCCCTGAAGGTCTTGAGCAATTTTTTACATTTCTGAGCAAATGGCACGGTTTTTCTCTTGTTTGTCCGTCACATCTGAAGTCTTTTCTAGACATCTGAAATTACTTATAGCGCTTATAGCCCCCCGTAACTCATACAAATGTATCCCCTTTAGTAGCATGTGTATATTTCCATGCATGTTAGAGTTCCAACACTTGTGGTTCATGACAAGTTTTTGGTTGATTTAAAAAAGATATCAAGAAAAAAAGTCACAATTAGGGGCTCTCCTTATGTACTGTACTTTATCTAATGACCCATTTATCACTGAAGTAATAACAGGCCACTTTATTTATGGTATCTGTTATTTTTATTGGCTGTTTAAAATGTGTAGACGTCAAATTAAGTTACCCTTTTTTCTTTGTATTGTGAGAAGTCCAACATTTTTAGAGTGCTGTAACAAAAAACAACAGGTTTGATTCTGCACCACATCAGCCTCTTAAAAAAGTGAAGAATGACTGTTAATGTAAAGCCTTGTTTTCTTAAAACACGGGAATTCAGAGCAGAGAGATCATTTCCAAAGTCCGCCCATGCTAAGCAACAAGTGTTTTCTGAGGACGTCTGCCTCTATCATAACCAAAATGATTTAAAAAAAAAAAAAGAAAGTAAAACTAGAGATTTATTTGAGAAGTGAATAATCAAGAGTGAGTTTAAAAAAAAAAAAAAAGCTTAAAATGCAAGTTCACGCATCTAAACTCCTTTTTTTTCTGTCAGATCTTTTAAAGTTTTGGTTAAACAATATTGCCTTTCTTTTTTTCTTGTTATTGGCCTTGTTGCCTTTATTGGATAGGACAGCTGAAGAGAGACAGGAAACATGGGAAGGAGAGAGAGTGGGGGATGACATGCAGCAAAGGGCAGAGGTCGGAATTGAACCCACAGCCAATGCGGCGAGGACTATAGCCTCCGTACATAATCCGCTTGAGATAACCGCTAGGCTATCGGTGCTCCAATAATGCCTCTCTGTTTTTCAGGTGAAAGTCTGTTGCATTATGATGCACATTTTCTTATTTACTGACATTTATTTCTATAAAAAAATGTCTGATTATCTGAGAATCAGGTTCAAATCATCTCAGATTTCTTCACTTGTGTTAAGAGGATCAAACGTTACAGACTGGATAGCGGCCAAATGACTCCATAAGATGCTGACATGACATCACTCATGATCATATCTTTAAAGTAGTTTTTTCAGAGTCTGGAGGGAGACACGGGGGGAGGGGGGGGTCGTCTCACTCAACATCTCCAGTGTAGCACTGACATACTGTAGGTACAGATTTTAACCATTTCTGTTTCTTAATATGACAAATATTTGGAAGGCTCAAACTGTATAAAGCCTGTTTAACAGCACTTATGGCACAAATGTTCACTTAATTCTACCTGTTTTAAAAAACACACTCCACGGGGGACACACTGCACACGCTCGCTCACACACTCACTTACACCCACACACACACTCACTCACAATCGCTCGCTCGCTCACACACTCAGTCACACACTCAGTCACACAAACGTCTTTTAGCGCGCGCAGGTTGGAAGTTGTTTAAGAGGGAAATCGTATGTGATGTGAAGGGAATGAGGAGTGTTGGAAGTCGGACGAAGAGAGGAAGTGTAGAATCACCAAGAGCACACACACACACACACGCACACACACACACTTTGTGTTAGAGCAGAGGAGTCGTTTAAGATGTTTTCAAGGTTAGCGTGCAGAGTAGAGGAGTCACGTCGTCTTTTTTATACGTCGCAGATAAAAACAGAAGTATTAACCCATGGTGTGGTTTCCACTTGACTCTGTTTCTGTTTCAGCATCGATCTTTTTTTACATTTCTCCACAGTCGTCATCACAACGATTTCTGAGTTTGACCACGTCGGTTCTTGAGATTGCACCATCGCTCGATTGTGATGCAGGTTTTTTTTTTTTCCATCGAAATGAAATAGTTGCTGCTGCTTCAGACGTCGCCTCCCTCGCTGTGTGTCTGGGACTGTTTCAGCAGGGTGACGTCATGTAGACGGGTTCTGACAGAGTTTCTCTCTGAAATACAGTTTTAAGAACATTTTTACTAGATTATCTTTGCCTGGATGAAATAAAAGAAAACAACAGACCGGATCACTGTTGCTGCGAAGGTGTGCAAACCTTCATCTGTGTTTCTCCTCAGTCAATACGATGCAGATGCAGGTTTTCATTTTCAGGAATTAAACGGACACATATCTTGTGAAAACTTCTTTAAAAAAACAGATGTTTGAAAACGTGAGAAGAGAGGAAAGACGAAGGCAGGATGAAAAAAAAACAATTGTTCAAAATAAACAGGGTTTATAAGAATAACTGGTGCCTTTTTAAAAAATGTTTTATACAACCTTTTTTTTTTATATAATGCTCCATTCAGTCCAACAACAAACTACTCGTTCAAATGTATAAATACATGTTTGTTCTTTGCTGTGTATAATTTGTGGTTTGCTACGTTGTTGTACTAGACTTGTGTAATAAATTAAGCCTTTTATAAATGTAACAGTTGTCGCTGGAGTCATTCCAAATGTCTTTGATTAGATTTTCATGGTTGAACAGAAGCCCGATGAGGACATGAATCCATACGTTTTAATTGCACTTTCTTCTTCTGCTTGTTTTCTCTAGATCTCTACTCATGTATCTCGTATCCTCAGAGTTGTAACTTCACAAAACAAACTTGTCGCTGCCTGGACTATCAGAGTCATCAGACCTGTTTTGATTTCTGGAATCACCGAAAACTGGTTCCTGTTAGTCCAAGAAAACGAGCTTTAGCATAAAGATAATGAGATCAATACATCTGATGTAAGGGGAAAACCAGCGTTGTCATCACCGTGATAACGACAACAACAAGTTCATGTGTCATCAGGAGAAGATGAATGATGCAGCAGCAAAGGGCCGGCAAACAGAGAAAACGATTGAAGCGTGTTTAGGTTATTCTTATTAGAAAATCTGTTTACTCCTCTGTATTCTAACAACCTTTACAAGACTCCTGTCTGTATTTAGATTGTTCTCTGTGTGCCGCTTCTGTCCTGCTGCACCTTTAGCTTGTTCTTGACCACGGCACCAGAGAAGAAGATTCATGCAGGACTGTGTTTTTTTTTGTTTTTGTTAAAGAGGCGCAGCTCGACATCTGTGATCCGTCTGGAGAAGTGAAGCTTATTGACCACTTCCAGCCTTTCACTCATCATGCGCATTGGTCGGTGAAATTCTGCAAGAAAATCCCACTCTGAAAAGAAGTAAATGAAATGTGCGGAGGAATGTCGTTTAGGGATTCTACAATGTGTCATTCATGTCATGTGTTCATCCATTTCTTAGGATTGTAGGCATCTTTATTTTAGCTGAAATACACTTCAAGACTAACTGCAAGTGACCTAAAACGACTGCGTTAAAGAAAACCCTGAAGTCTTTCAGTTTTTTCTTATAAATGAAAAATTGCCATTTTCAATGCAAATCTGCACTACAGTATACATTCATACAAATATTAGCATGCAGCTTATCAATAAGTCCATTGCGTTAACTGTGCATAATACAGAGAAGAAATATCTTTAAAATAATACATTTTAAACAGACAGACAGTCTAATCAAACCCTCCCTCCGTTCTCTACAGCTGACGCCAGTCTGAGCGGAGCAGTGTACACGAGCGGCCAGCAGAGGGCAGAGCTGCACAGTGTGAGTTCTCACTTCAGGCTGAGCAGGTTCGCTCCTCTCTGCTGATCAGATTGTATTAGCACAAGAAAAAAAGGGGGCTGCAAGGTGCTGCTTTAAAACGTTCTCATCTTCATCAGCAGAAAGTCACACTGTTGGTGAGCAGCAGGTGGAGAAAATAGATTTTTGAATCGTTTGCAACAGAGGTGAGATGCTGGTTAAAAGCAAACCAGAGCTGATCCCATGTTTGGATTGTATCCTACATTTCTAACATTGGTTCATATAATTTCTGACCTGTCATACTGTGGAGAATGTATTTCAATGTATCCTCATATAGTGTAATGTGGTTTAATGTTAATGAGTGTTGTATATTTATTTCACTCTTTACACTAAGGCCCAATGAGGGACAAGAGTTGGGAATAGCTATAAACTGTCTGTAGCTTCATGTTCTGTGTTGAAAGCACGTTGAATGGCGTCATCCCTATTAAACACAAACATTTAAATTCAAATGAACAAGAGGTGCGGTCAGAAAATTAGCCAAAACAATTGATCGCTTCATAAAGGGACGACTGCTGGTGTGAGAGTTCTTGTGTGGTAACATTTTTCTTTCAAACGCCACGGATACGAGGCCCCCCCCCCCCCCCAATTCATATCTTGAAAATGTTCTTCTTGAAGGGTTGCCTTTGTAAAATCTGAACTTGTAAGCTGCAGGCTGCACACACCTGAGCTCAAATGATGAAAACTACACACACACACGCACACACACACAGCAGCCTTCATCTTAAGTTTCCTCCCTATCACTCTCTTATTTCTGTGAGGATTCGGTCTTTGTGGACTCTGACTGAACTCTGTTTCAACATTTTGTGCAGGACTTCTCTTCTCCATTTTCTCCGCTGCCTAACAGGATCTTTATTAGAGCACATAGAGTGGTTTATTATTAGCAGTGGACGCAGGCCAAAAATGAATCGGCCACTGCCATTACCATAGAAGACATAATTACCATAAGAAATCAATACCCTGCATGCATGCATTATTGGACGAGGTGGAAGATTAAAAAGGAAAGTTTCCTGCTGCAGACCTCTTATAGGAGTTCCAAAAAACCTTGGCCTCATTTTCCAGCTCTTATTATAGTCATATTCCATATCTAACCAGGCTGGGGACTCGAGTGCTTATTATGAAAAAAGGCTCATTCTGAAAACCACAAATGGGAGCCCTGAAGGATAGCAGGGACAAACACTACACAGTGTACTAATCCTATCTGGCCCCCGAATCTGCTTGTAGACACTAGAAGAAACAATGAGCCAGACACGAGTCCTCCAAGTGTTTTCATCCCTCCCCCCGGTACACCAGAGGAGGTGGAGGGACAGAGAAAAGGGATGATAGCATTACTCACAATCCATTACCACTCCCTGGAGACGCTCTGCATACAGAGAGGTGGAGGCAGGGAGGGTGGAGGCCGAGAGAGAAAAGAGAGAGAGAGAGAGAGAGAGAGAGAGAGAGAGACTGAGAGAAATCTGGTTTTAGAGGGTGTTTGTTTGCTGGAGGGGCCGGCGGTAAGGCAATATGAAACTTGATTATTCCTTTTCAATAACCGTCTCCAGAGCATCCCGTGGAGACGGCGCAGGTCGCTGATTAGTGCGTCAAAATAATAGAAGGCTCTTGAATAGCCTTGTTAAGATGTCTAACTTTAAGTACAGGCGGCGGCCGAATCATTGTTCGCTCTGAAGCGCGCGATAATGACGGATTGACTGATGCAGAGGGATGTTCCTGCTTCTTCTTTTTTTTTTTTTCTAATCAAGACTGTTTATTTCATAAAGGCAGACAATATACAAAGTGCTGGAGTAACAATACATGAAGATATATACTTTTTAGACATTAATACGGAGTATGTACATATACCATTTACACGTATTAGGCATCAGGATGATTTTTTTTAAACCCTTAAAACTCTTCACGGTGGTGGCCTCTCCTGTCTCAGTTTCAGCTCCATCTGTCCCCGTCCTCCTGGAGTTTCACCCACTTGAATCCATCTGTTGCCTCTAAAAACATCCCACAGAGGCACCTCCCCACCATCTTGCCCCCTGACTGTATTTCACTGCAGGGCTTTGATTGTGAAGGCCGCATGTTAAACATCCTGAGTGTCGCGGGCAGGTCACAGGTCAAACATTTGTTCTTTGGACATATGGTTTTTTTTTTTTCTTTCTTCTTCATATTCGACAGCAAGAGCAGAATTAAATGTAAACGCTCACTTTCACTGCTAATATGTGACAT